CCCGCCGGCGCAGGCTGCCTGCTGCGGTGGGGGGGGGGTTGGAGCCTCCAAAGCGCTGCGTCAGACTCTCTCGCGGCCCCAGGCTGCTGACCCTGCTCTAAGCAGGGGTGAATGCGAGTAGTTTTAAAATGCCCCCGCGGGCGCCATGGCACCTGCAGGCACCGTGTTGGGGACCACGGCTGTAGATTATATAATTCACCCAACAGCAGAAGGATGGAAGGTCAAAGTATATGCCATAGCAGAACTCTTATGTCATTTATTGCAATTAATAAAAACTTAGTAAAACCAATTTTCTCCAATGACTGAGTTATAAATTTTATTCAAAATATTGTTCCAAAATCTGTTATATATGGAAAAACCACCTTCTACAGCTCCCAGAAGGGTGGGGGCCTAAAGAACATTGCAAAAGAAGGGTCTGTATTTGTTTTAATTTTAGAAAGTGTTTGCTTTTGAGGGTTATTGATCAAAGAGTGCTTGGTTGTTTCCATATTCAAGAGTATTAATAACATTGATATTCTTAGTTAAATAATTTTTTCTAACGATAGTGATATTGTGCAATAAAGGGAAACTGTTAAACGCTTACAGTTTCCAATCCATTTTTACATTATTTAATAAAATATATATCTGCTTATAGACTCTTTCACCTCAAGATCTGACTCAAACCTGGGTTAACATAATGAATGACAGTAGCTTGTACTTCTGAGGGGTTTTTTTAATGTAAAATACCACAGAAGGTTCCTAAATGTTCATGTAAATAGAAATATTTTTTTCACCCCAGAAAGACCCATCATTTGGTCGGAGGCGGAATTTATCTGACCTCTTACTGAAAATGTCAATTCAAAATACTATTTCTGAATCAAGATGCAACTACAAAGAAAAGGCAAAGAAATGTACTTCATATACTAGACTTAGCATATGTCCACAAGTTGCTAGGATTTATTATTCAAGACCAAACATTTTGAATGTCCCTGAGAAAGAAGAGGCCATTTAATTTCCAAATACTCTATTTATCATTTTTTACAATGAGAGCAGGTTTCAAGGTTTGGATGCATTTATGGTTCACATGCTAAATGATTTAATATTTTTCTCTAATAGGAAGAAGTTAAATTCAATGGAAGTCATTTTTCATTGTCTGTAAGGATGTATCTGGACTAAAGGTTTTTTTTTTTTTTTTAAAAAGTCACTTTTTTTTGAAAAACACTTCCCCTGTGTCTAGACTGCTGCCGCATTCTTTCGAAAGAAAATCAAAAGACGCAGCAGTTTTTTCGACCATGGAAAACCTCATTTATCGAGGAAGAATGCCTTTTTTCAAAAGCGCTGTTCGAAAAAAGGTGTTATGTAATGCAAACTGCTTTCAAAAAAAAGCGCTATGTAATGCAAACTTCCTGGGTGTTCTCTTTCAAAAAAGCAGCTTGCTTTTTCGAAAGTACTGGTTGTAGTCTAGACACTCTTTTTTGAAAGAGGCTTTTTTGAAAGTATCTTTCATCCAGTTCCCTCCAAGCTTTCTTCAGACCTATTTGATATTATCCTTGATCCTTTCTAATGTGTCTACACTTGTATCTGATCAACAAAACTTTTGTCATTCAAGGGTGCATAAAAAAAGCTCATGAATGACAAGATTTTTCCATGGCGAGTGAAAATGAATGCTGATTTATCAGGAGTACTCTGGTGTTGACAAAGAGAAACCCCCTCATTGGAGATAGAAGAATTTTGTTGACAAAAGTCCTACCCCCCAGTTTTGTGAACTATGGTGCCATAAAGCCCACCTTCACCCTCACAGTCACCCCTCATCGGCCCTGACACCCCCCCCTTGTAAATTCAACCCCCCCCATTTCAATTCTTGGGGAGGCTACTGCAAAAGTCCCGACAAACAGCATTCACACAAGCTGACTTTTAGTGACAAGGCTACGGTGACAGAGCCTTGTCATTAAAAGCTACATAGTGTTGATATATCCTAGATCAGTTTTTCCCCAGGCTCTTCCATTCTCCACCCAGCACTCGGAAATAGCTTTACTCTTTTCTCTCCTACCTACTCTTTTCTCTCATACCTTCTCCAATCTTCCCCAAGTCACTCAAAGCAACGACTCAAGAGTCCAGAGTTATATCTAGATTTCACTGATTCTTCTCAATGGGACTGCAGTGTCTCTCAGAATTCCTCCCCCCCCTCCCCAATCAAAGAATGGGCAACATATAAGTCTCCTGCCAACTCTATCAGAAACATCAATTATCTGCCAGACTAAGACAAGCCTCCCTCTGGAACTCTTCCAAAAGCATTATTTAATTATTAACCAGGAACTGCTTTCATAGCCACTTCTGCTATTACCAGTGTGGTTCAGAAGTGAGAGTAACTGTTGAGAGGCACCCAGTCCCTGCCAACCTAGTGATGGAGAAATCAAGTTAAGGACAAACAGATTTGCTTGCATAATATCCTGCAAAATAAGTCATGTTCTTTCAGAGCATTATACACGCAATATATGCTGAAATCTATACTTGCATAATTGCGTAATGGTGCTCTTTCAAAAAGCACCATTTCAAAAGTAAAACCGCAGTCTAGATGCAGTTCTTTCGAAAATGACAGGCTTTTTCGAAAGATCCTGTACTCCTCCTGTTTTCTAAAGAGGGTTCTAGACTGAGGTTTTACTTTCGAAATGGTGCTTTTTCGAAAGAGCGGCATTACACGATTATGCAAATGAAGCACGGGATATTTAAATCCCTGCTTCGTTTGCAATTTTGAAGTGTCTAATTTATATCTGTTGAAAGAGGGATGCAGTCTAGACACAGCCACAGACTACTGCTGCTAATTATTAGCCCATAGTCAGTATGTATAGATTTTGATTTTAAAATTCAGAGAGTTTGCTTTTCTGGCTTTAAAGAAAGTACTGCTATAACTGTTTTATGTACATCCTTAGAACAGTTAAAAATCCGTTTCACCTCAGCTTATTCTCTTCTTTATCAGCCAGTACTTGTTAGGGCTTCTAAGTAAAAATATCTATGAAGCTAAAACCATTTTAGTTATATGGTGGGGATCAAAAAGAAAACTTGTCGGCTCTGCCCTAAGCATGCTTAACTATCCTTAATTTGACCTTGACTAGATCCTGACACTGTCTCCTGGAAACTGAAAGATTCTGTTTCCGTTTATTGTTATAGTTATTAATGTCTGCTCAAGCTCAGTTATCTAACCTTGATAAACCACTGTAATTTAAAACAGTCTCTCCTAAAGTGGCAAACTAAAAATGGCATATCAAAAAGTCACTTACACTACTATTAGTCATTATTATGGGAAAGACTCTATTCATTTAGCCTTTGTCACAGTTTTTAGCACTGAGCTGTTTCTTACTAGCAAAAGGAACTCCTAACATTTCCAGCTGCATTGTGTATTACACTACAGGTAGAAGCTGCACAATATCTCTAATGAAAATAAGCCACACCTAAGCCTCCAGGCAGAGGTGTATCAGCAGCTGGAAATGCAAGTTCCAGATAACAAGTCCCTCCAGACCTCTTGGAAAAGTTCATTAGCACATAATGTTCTCACTAAGTTTATGGAACCGATCCAGTTGTTTTGTCTAAGTAGGTAGAGAATCAGAGAGGGGGCATAATGAACTGGAAGTCTATAGGGATGGAGGAACAGAAAGAGAAGGGGAGTTCAGGGACATAGTAAGGAGGGAGGGAGAAGAAATTACAAGATCTGGATGAGTGTCCAAACCTGGTGTTTAAAACCATCATTTCACTAATCTGCTCTCTATTGCTGTAATGTCTTCCTTAGTTCCAGAACTAAGGATGTTAAATTTAGATTAGTCAAACTAATCAAATAGTTGATGTAATAATTTGCATTGACTATTCAATTAGTTAATAAAGGCACCTCTCCCTTTGAAATGTAGCAAGAACCCTGCCAGCTCTTGCTACATTTCAAAGGCAGAAGCGCCGCAGGGAGCATGGGGCCAGTGGGGGGACTCAAGCAGTGAAGTATAACTTTATATCCTCTAGGCTAAAGAAATAAAATATCACAGAAATTGTACACATTACTTCTTCCTAAACAAAGCTCTGACTGATATGCAATACTTGTGGGCTTGCTTTCATTTATTCTTTATTGTGTCTATATCAGTGGCTTTCAAACTTTTGTTTTTCCATAAACCAGTTGAAGAAAATTGTTGATGCCTGTGACCCAACATAATTATACATTTTGACTAGAGTGTAGGCTCTGAGGTGGGGCTGGAAAGAGGGATTTAGGGTGGAGGAAGGGGCTCAAGGCTGGGGCAGGGGATTGGGGTGATGGGTTGGGCATGGGCTTACTCCAGAAAGTCTCAGTCAGCAGTGTAGCTAGGATTCTAAGGCTGGCTTCCTGCCTGTCCTGACACCTCAGACCATGCTGTGCCCCAGAAGCAGCCAGAAGTATGTCTGAGTCCTAGGCAGAGGTGCACAATTGGGAACCAGTCAATGGGAGTGTGGAGAATATGCTAGAGGAAGGGCAGTTCAAGGAGCCCTGTGTGCCCCCCCAGGAACTGGACCTGCTGCTGGAGTGGAGTGCAATGCAGTTCGTGGTGCCAGGACAGGCAGGAAGCCTGCCTTAGCAACCACCACTAGTCACCTGGTTGCCCTATAGCAAAGCAACCCAGTGCCTGGCATTCCATTACCCAGAACTGGATTGTGACCCATGCTTTGAAGACCTGGACAGAATTTTCTTCAGTAGCTCTTCTTCCTTTGCTACAAAAAACAAGGAAGTCATTTACGTTTTCCACTCTAGCTGGACTTTGAAACAAGCATGATAAAGAATAAGGCAGACATGAATAATTGATTATATATTATCTGGGATACAACTGCATTTTTCCATAGAGAAATTAGAAACAAGGCATTACTCTTCCTTGTAATTTAACAGTCCAATAGATATCTAGCATGATTGTTCTGAACAGGTGTGGGAGAACGGATCAAAAGTATACTACAAATTACTAACACAAGTGCTAGAGTGGTTACAGACAGAGGAGGGAGCTACGAGAAGTTTCCACTGCTAAAATCAACAATGCAGATCAATGGCAAATGACGTGCAAGGCCATAATCAGCTATTGAGAAAATAATAGGAGACTTTGGTAGAAACCCTGCTTTAATTTACTCTTCCCTGATAGTGAGAAATAGATTCCATAGAACAAAGAAGTATGTAATTCAAAGGTTTAACACAGAGATACATCTGCTGCTGAAAATTTGAATGCAATTCATGCTGTTAAGATTCAGAGCAAACACATACCACCAATTCAGTATTTTTTTTTTCTAGCTTCAGTGAGAGACAGCTGCACCACTGTAACAGATCATTCTTGGGGACTGAGCTGGCTTTGCAATTATTCAGCTGGGCCTAATATCAGTTCCACAACAGCAGTACATTCAGCTGTCTTCGTTATTTAAGGTGGACTGTGTTCATTCATGGACATAGTTTGTGTCAGTCTTTGCAGAAAGTTTCACTGATCTTAGTTTATTCAAGATCTCTAAATTAGCAAATTATAAGCTATAGAAAGGAAGCAGTAATTAAAATTATAAGGCGGGAGGATCTCTGCAAATGTATTATGCATGCAGTCTTACACAAAATAATTTCTCTCTCTATGAATATTATTGTATTAATCAAAAGAGAAAGACAATATCGTTACAAGGTGTAAGTTTCACACGGAATAGTGCATTCCCTTAGGATAAACTAACAATAGCTTGTTATAAAATGTTTTAATTTTTCCTTCTAGTAGAAGTTACTAAACAAATCAATTTAAAATAATAATGGCACCAATCAAAATATGTAGTTTTGGTTATATATTGCTATAATAAAAACGTTACCCCATTTTTCTTCTAGGTATGTAGCTATCATTTATCCTTTTAAGCCCAAACTTTCTACTGTAAACACCAAAATAATTATAGGAATAATATGGATGGTGGCTTTTGGACTCGCCTTCCCGCAGTGCTTTTATGCTAAGATAACGATTGATAACGGAATGACTAAATGTATTGTTACCTGGCCAGATGATGTTGGACGAAAGCATCAGCTCATGTAAGAGCATCTCATTTGTATAAAATATAAATGAGAAATCTATGCAGCATTGCTTGAAAGTTTAAAGTTTTTCTAAATGCAGTGCTCTTGGATACAAGTGTTAAAAGCAAGCAATGTCCTTTTGAACTATATGATGCAGAGGGAAGGACAACTGTAACCTGAGCATTCCTTGTTAGCTAGAAATAAAACTGTGTTCATCTCTTTGATCAGAGAATTTGTGTTGTAACCCAGCTGATGTTGCAGGAGGAGAAAATCAAGGCAATGGAAATGGGGGTTGTGTTGTATAAACATAAGAGAAAACTAAATGTAAACGCTACTAAATGGACAATAAATTTTGGTTCCAGTGATCTCCCCAATCCTAGCTTCAGGCAGGAAAAAGATCCAAGTATTTTTATGATTTGGGGATTACATAATTAACTATAAAAAAATAATCTACTTTGATCTTGCAAATAACAATGTCATCATTCTGAGAAGACATACACATGCAGCCTTTTGTGATTAATGCCAGAAGTGGGTGCCAAATGCTTCATGAATAATCCTCCTTTAACACAGTTTATGTGCAAATGACATCTGCTGTAACTGAATAAGTCAGGTGGTCCCTCTCCATAAATGGTGGTTGCTCAAAATAATCATACAAAGCATAATATTTATGTTTTTTTTACATGAAATGAAACTTGTTGGATAACATTAGATAGAGCTCTTTTATACAATCAAAGGTGATGGTATTGCTTTTGGTAGAGATAGCTGGTGGATCCTGCTTAGACAGTTGGTTTATTTATTTGTGTTTTTGTAAATAAATAAAATGATATAAATAATAATCTAAGTTTGAATGCCATTCACTTAGCAAAACTCTAAACACATATTGCCAGTTATTTTTTCTTACCAATTCAGTCATTTGCTTCCAGTACATTAAGTCTGAAGTACTTAATCCAACAAAATTCCCATTAACTTCAACAGGAGTTTTGCAGGATTAAGAACCTCCGAAATAAATCCAGCATCCTTGCATATTGCAAGATACTTTATAATTAGGGCTGTCAAGTGATTAAAAAAAGTAATTGCAATTAATCATGCAATTAAAAAAAGAGGATAATCTTGCACAGACCAGATAGTAACACTTCGGATCATCGTAGAACAATGCATTGAATGGCCAGCACCACTCTACATCAACTTCATAGACTTTAAGAAAGCCTTCGACAGTGTGGACAGGCAGTCCATCTGGACTATCATGCAACATTATGGAGTTCCAGGCAAACTGATTACCATAATCAAGAAACTGTATGAAGAATACTCCTGCCAAGTCATCCATGATGGAAAATAGTTGGAAAAATTCCAGGTCACAACAGGTGTATGTCAAGGCTACCTTCTTTCTCTGTTACTCTTCCTGATTATCCTAGACTGGGTCACAAAAACAGCATATGCTGACTCAGGAAGGGGACTCCCATGGACTCAAACTAGGAGACTTGAAGAGCTAGAGTTTTCAGACAAGTTAGCCCTGCTTGCAGATAAACTAGAGCATATGCAAGAGAAGATGGATGCCCTACAGCTGAACGAGTGGGCCTCAAGATTTGTCAAGAGAAGACCAAGTTAACGAGTATTAACAACAGACAGGAATGTGAAATTACAATTGAAGAAAAACCAGTGCAAGAGGTTGACCAGTTTGTATACTTGGGGAGTGTTATCAGCAAGAATGGGGGAACTGAAGAGGACATTGGTGTGAGAATACAAAAGGCGCAACAAGCCTTTGCCATACTGTGACCAGTCTGGGGTACAAGAGCCATTGTAGTATGCCAAACGAAACCTTGTGGACCACAACAAATCAGGAACCAATGGAGGTCCAGATTAAGAAGAGAAACTGGTGATGGGCAGGCCAAATCCTGTTTAAGGACTCTGAGGAATGTATCATGCGACAAGCATTAAAATGGAATCCAAAAGGAAAGAGGAAAAGAGAACGTCCCAAACAAACATGGCGATGAAGCTTCTTGGATGAAGTAAAAGCAGCTGGCTTAACGTGGGATCAAATCAAGACTATGGTTAAGGATCGCAAGAGATTGAGAATGACTGTGGAGGCCCTATGCTCCGTTAGGAGCCCAAAGGACTAATAGATAGAATCATGCCATTAATCGCATGTGCTGCTCCTTTGAAACTCTGTGGCAGCATTTCAAAGGGGCCCAGGATCAGCTGGCTCCAGGTTTTGTGCAGCGCTGCTCCTTTGAAGAGCTATGATGGCACTTATAGGGTTGCCAGATGGTTTCAATAAAATACCGGACATATTTGAGATTACATCACAATCTAAATTACATCTTATTTAGAAAATACCAGACATTTATATTTTCTCAATTTGTTTCCTGATCAGAAAGCTCAAATACTGGACTGTCTGGTTCAAAACCAGACACCTGGCAACCCTATGCTTCAAAGGTGCAGCACATTAGGAGACTGAGATCAGCTGGGGACTCCAGCTGATCCCCAGCTCTGCATTGCAAAGCCACTTTGAAGTGCTGCTCCAGCACTTCAAAAGTGTTTTGCAACAGTGGAGATGGGGATCAGCTGGGGACTCCAGCTGATCTCTTGCTCCGTTTGTGCTGCCCCTTTGAAATGCCGTTTTGGTGCTGGAGCGGCACTTCAAAGGGGCTTTGCAACATGGAGCCAGGGATCAGCTGGAGTCCCCATCTGATCCCCAGCTCCGCTGTTGCAAATCACCTTTGAAGCGCCAGAGCGGCACTTCAAAGGGCCAGCACAGCATTAATGCCTGCAATTAATGTGTTTTAAAGGATTAACACCATAATCCTGTCCTGCGTTAATTGCAGGCATTAACACAGGTCAATTGACATTCCTATTTATAATTATGTATAATTTTGATTTTATAGCTTTTGTAATTTGTAGTTAACTTTTTATAGCAACAAATGTTATAAATCCTTCTGCCATGACCCCAGTAAAGCAACTAAATATGAATAAGCTGACATGAAATCTAAGTCACTGTTAGAAAGATAAATAATGTTGTCTTAAAGGAGCCCAGGCTTCAGTTCAAGGAAATACCCTTGGCACATGAAAGAAACGCATGTTTCAAGTTGGTGGAAGTTCCTTCCATCTGCACTGAGGCTTCATGGTGAAATTTTGTTCTCAGAGGCAGGCGGTACCACAGCTCCCATTGAAGTTAATGGGGACCATGCACACACATGTGTGGTGATTTGACACTGGGACAGAAGCTTTTGGAGACACACATTAACTGTAAAGATGTATCTATTTTTATTTTTCAGGTATCACATCACAGGGATTGCCTTGGTTTATCTGCTGCCTTTAATAGTGATGTTTGTAGCATATAGCATTATAGGAATTACTCTTTGGAGGAGTACGGTTCCTGGAGACTACGCTAATAGAGTCTATTATCACCACCAAGTTACTGCCCAAAAAAAGGTTAGAAAAGAAACTCTTACCTTGCCAACTGTTCTGAGTCTAGCTGTGAAATGTAACTTACATTCATTCAAAGTGTGCTGTGATTGTGCATTGGCACATTAAAGATGTATGGAAAAGTCTGACAAAATAGCTTAGGGGGAGGAGAGGTGACAATTTTTCACAGACCTCCTAATGAGTGTGAAAAGTGGTGATTTGTTATAAGACAGTCTCTAAGGGCACATCTACACTTGCTGCACTGGAGATCAAAATTCTGGTGTTCGACTTGGCGGGTCTAGCATAGGCCCATAAAGCTGAGGGCGGCTCCAGCTGGCACCTGTACTCCTCGCAATCATGAGGAATGAAGGAAGCCGACGGGAGCATCAGCCTTCCACTGTGTGGACACTGCTAAGCTCGGTTTATAAGCTGACTCAGCTACATATTCTGCGTAGCTGGAGTTGCATACCTTAAGCCAGCCTTCCAGATCTAGTGTAGACTAGTCATGTAAAATTTAGATTAATTGGCTAATCAAAGAGTCCATGCAATTTGAATCAACTATTCAATTAGTCGATAAGGGCGCCTCTGCCTTTGAAGTGCAGCAATAGCCCCAGGGCTGTTGCTACACTTCAAAGGCTAAAGCATTCTAGGGAGCAAGGGGCCAGTGGGGGGGCTCTGGCCCCGTGCCCCCCGTGATGTTTCAAAGCGGCAGCACCTCATGGAGCCCGGGGTCAGCTGGGGACTGTCAGCAAGGGGCAGGAGGTGACTCTTAGCTGGGGACTCCCAGCTGACCTCGGGCTGCACACGGTGTTTCAAAGCGGCAGACCCCAGGCTTCATGCGGCACTGCTGCTTTGAAGCACCCTCTTCTCCTCCCCCCCCTCCACTTGCTGCCTCTTTCTGATAGAGGCAGTGGGGGAGGAGCGTGGTGGGGGAGTGACTAGTCGACTAGTGTGTCAGCTATCTGATAAGCATTTATCGGATAGTCAACTAGTTGTTCACATCCCTCGTATATACCTGGCCTCAAAGAGAGAGCATCCAGTCTGGGAGAATTTACTGTTTTGCCCAAAGCTACATGGAGTGTAGAAGGTAGTGTCCAGTGGATTCATGCCTCAAGGAATAAGATCTATGTATGCTATAGACAGGAAAAAATTTCTCTTCCCATTATGCAATGCCACAATTCAACTGCTGGCCTCGTTACCTACCTTTCCCCAATATTTCCAGTTTGACTGCAAGCAATTTGTATGGTGCAGGCTGCCTTAGTAAGCTGAAATGTATTAATGCAAAGAAATATATGAAGTCTACAGTCATTATATGCTCTTGTGATGTCTGTGCTCAGAACCACTATCAGCATTAATAGGGTAGAAGTTCTTCTCATTTTTCAGGTATCTAAAAGGGTGTCATAAGGAAGAGGGAGAAAACTTGTTCATCTTGGCCTCTGAGGATAGAACAAGAAGCAATGGGCTTAAACTGTAGCAAGAGATGTTTAGGTTGGACATTAGGAAAAAGTTCCTAACTGTCAGGGTAGTCAAACACTGGAATAAATTTCCCAGCGAGGTTGTGGAATCCCCATCTCTGGAGATATCTAAGAGTAGGTTAGATAAATGTCTATCAGGGATGGTCTAGACAGTATTTGGTTCTGCCATGAGGGCAGGGGACCAAGGTCCCTTTCAGTCCTAGTATTCTATTCTATGACCTAAGGCACAATGAGGCCCCTAAGATATTACAAAAAATATGCAGTGATTAAACAATTCAGGTGGAAGAACAGTATTGTTTTAAAATCAGTCACATATAAAACTTCAGATAATTGCAAAGAGACATAATAAAATATTCCTTTTATTTTTCTAGTTTGTGAGGACCATGGTAATTGTTGTGATAAGGTAACCAACAGACAGCAAAAGTTATCACCTCTACTTCATCCTGGGGAGCATCAGGAAAGACATCTATCAGCAAAAGTATATTCAGCAAGTATAGCTTGCAGTCTATCTGCTTGCTATGAGTTCTACTGTGTACAATCCAGTTATTTACTGCTGCCTTCATCAAAGGTTAGTAGCAAAAAAACCAAAAAAAAAATCACAACAGAAAACCCACACACGTGACAAAAAACAAACAGCCCCCTCTAGCTTGGACAGCGGTTAGGAATAGTTCAAAGACAGGCTGAGCAAGTGCAGAATGCTGACAGAACGTGACTTTGGCCATTACAAGGGATGCTGACTACTTTAGACCACAGTGAAAGCAGTACTCCCATTGCTACTGCTGCTTGCTGTGTGCTCCATAATACGTGTGAATGTAAAGGGGGAAGTTTCTGGCAGGGTCGGGAGCGAGACAGATCATCCAGTGGTTAAATATGAGCAGCCAAACATCAGGACAATAAGGAGAGCAAACTCAGGGGCACTGTGAATCAGAGAGGCTTTGAAAACCAGTTTCACAAATGACCAGACAATGATGTGACAGTTATGTATGTTGCTTTTAACAAGGTGTCCCTTGCTGTACATGTACTGGCCTCTTCCCCCAATGCAGTTGGCACAATGAATAAAGATCCTGTTTTTCTGAAATCAGTTTTATTTGGGAACCACTGGGAACATAGACAGAACAGGAGTTTAGGGCATGAAGTCTGATGGCAGGAGGAGAGTGCAAACAGGAGTTTAGGGCACGAAGTCTGATGGCAGGAGGAGAGTGCAAGGGCAAGTGGCTGGTTACAAAGCAGTGGCAATGACAGCCTTCTGCTCCTGGAGATACTCCTAGGCATTGAGTGAAAGGCTTCCCATGACTCGCCCTGCCTGCATTCTAGGATGCCTGGGAGTGGAGAAGATGGAAGGGGTGAGGAGGGCAGGTGGTTTGTCATAGGGTGCAGGAGGACTCAGTGCATCTCATTCTGTGTTTTATGCTCACGTTCCCTGCTTGCTTTCCTGCCCCGTTCCGTGAGGATGATTTCTCTCAGCATTCTCCTCCAGACATTCAGCTGAGCTCTATCAGTCCAGGCAGACTATCTGAGTTCATTATACATTTCATCCTGTGTACATTTTTTTCCCACTTTCTGGTGTGTGACAGCCAACGTGCAGGGGGAGCAGGTAACAGCTGCACTGGGGAAAACAACAAGGGTAGGCTTTAGAGACAATAACCTTTAGAGAAGGTTAACTCTTTTACAATGAATGAAACAGTGTGCTGCGGAAAAGGCGTGTTATGTACAAGACCAAGTTTTTCATTTTAAACTGAGTGCCTAACCAGGCAGGAAGAACATCCAGCACTGGTCAGCTGAACTCGTTTGGTGGCAGGCATGGTAAGCAAGAGATTGGGGTTCTTGCTCTTTTGTTTCCACATGTATGAAATAGTGCTTGCAAAGAACAGCCCCTCATAGCTATGTAAGCATCAGCATTTGCAAAGGGGGGCAATGTTTGTGAGGGGCCCTGCAAAGGGGGGATTGAGTGAGGGACTGGCTAAGGGGGGGAATCGGGTAGAGGTATATGGGTTCATGCAGTCTGTGCATGGTCACCCCCCTTCCTGACCAACATGGCTGGTCTCCAGGATGATCCCTTCAAGCCCATTGCAAGCAGGGCAGCAAGCCTGAGGTCATGATTTGTTGGAGGATGAACAAATGGAGGTGGATGTCCTCAGTGTTATCATTTACGGAACTTTCCCTATTTCATCCAGGCTGCCATGCATGACATCAGTCTTCTCCAAGAGCATGACAGGGAGCAGATGCTGACTGAATGTGCCTCAAAACCTGCGCCTTATGCTGCAATGCTTTGTGCTGCCATGATGCCAGACCACTTACTGCTGGCTTGGCGTGGGAAGGTGTCCTAGTATGAAGGATGGAATAAGGCAGCCCTCACCAAAAACCTTTTGAAAAGGATTACAGAGTACCTCCAGGAGAGCTTTCTGGAGATGTGCAGGGAGGATTCCCGCTTCACCTCCAGACAAGTTAAAATTTTACACAATTGTTCAGGGTATATCAAACAGATTAAACCCAATTACATTTAGCCATTGTAGTATGATTACAAACATGAACTTACCAGAAGTGCCCTCCCCACCATCAAGGTCTGGCAGCGATACCATCTGGGAGGAATGGATTGTCTCCAAAGTTATGAAAAGGTGCTGACTGTCGGAGGGATCAGATCCTCCACTTGCCTGCTGAGCATTCTTTTTCTCCTCCTCTACAATGTCTTCATTGTTGCTCATGGCAGCCTGAAAAGTCACGTGGAAGGTATTGACAGTTTGGGGACAGTGATTGAATCCCCCACTACAATGCCAGGCAGGTGCTCATAGAAGCAACCTGAGGCTCTGACCTGGGCCAACCGCTTGCCTGTGCTTGTATTTTCACACAGCACTGCTGAGTGTCCCTTCAGTATCCTTTTCCCACCATGCTTTGTGTGATTTTGGCATAGAGATCAGATTTCTCCTGCTGCTTCAATGTTCTGCCTGCACAGATTCCTCTCCCCATACAGCAGTGAACTCCAGTACCTCCTGCATGCTTTGTGTTGGAGTGCATTTTATTTATTTATTTAAAATATTTTTACCCCATCTCTCTATTTAAAATATTTGAGGCAGCTTACAAAATTTTAAAATGAATATATAAAAAAAGTAAAATAAAAGACCCCAAGTGGGGGGAGGGCGCATAAAACCTATTAAGGCACACCAAGAGAAGAAGCGCACATGCGCACTCACACACGAACTCAAGCACCAATAAAAGCATGGGTAAAAAGAGAGGCTTTAGCCTGGCGCTGAAACAATGGTGCTAGAATGTCCTGGGCAGAGAATTCCATCGCCTGGGATCAAAAGCTGAAAAGGCCCTGCCCCGCACAGATGTCAGTCTTATCTCCGTAAGTGGAGAAACATGGAGCAGAACCTCCCCAGCTGACCTTAATCCCCAGGCAGGTTTATACAGCCCTTATAGGGCTTTATAGGTTATAACCAGGACCTTGAATTGTGCCCGGAAACCTACCAGAAGCCAGTGCAGCTTCTAGAGCACAAGCATAACATGCTCTGCATAGTGAGTGTCAGTTAAAATTCGAGCAGCCACATTCTCAACCAGTTGAAGTTTCCGAAAACTTTTCAAAAGCAGCCCCCAGATAGAGTGCATTACGGTAGTCCAATGGGGATGTGACAAGAGCATGAATCACCGTAGCCAAGTCATTCCTATTCAGGGTCACAGCTGGTGCATCAGCCAAAGCTGCACAAAAGCACTCCTGGCCACCGAAGAAATCTGGTTCTCAAATATTAGAAAGGGCACAAGGACTCCCAAGCTGTTCCTTCAGGGAGAGTGCGACCCCATCCAGAATAGGTAACACCACATTCCTAGTCAGATGGCTTCCTGCTCAACAGGACCTCAGTCTTAATCCGGATTCAGCTTCAGTTTATTTGACCTCATCCAGTCCATCACTGCTTCCAGACACCGGTTCAGATTAGTTGCTGCTACAGCTGGATCTGATGTGTCAGAGAAATAGAGTTGGGTATCATCTGCACTTCTCCAAAGTTGACCATAGATGGTCAAATTTAGCGCTACTCCTCTTGTCAAGGACAGAAATTGGCGTGAAAAGCCCTTAACGTTGGCTGAAGGGGTTTGGTAGCTCTAGACTAATTTTTGTTATAAAAATCGACCTAATGTAGCTAACTTCAAACTAAACTCGTAGGGTAGCCCAGGCCTCACTGGAATTTCCTCAATACAGCTTATGGTCACTTAGCATTTATGAAGAGCGACCATATTAAACACATGAGAGAACATGAACATCCCCTCTGTAAAAGTCAGAATGAAAAACTAGATCAAATACAATCTTGCCATAGCCCAAACTTGTAGGGGCTTTTTGTTTTGTTTTTGAAAGGAAAGATCATTCTCTTTGTTGGCTGCCTCCTACTGCTTTGTCATTTGAGCAGTTAAAGTCTCTCTCTCTCTCTCTCTCTCTCTCTTTTTTTGGTGGCATTTAATCCCTTCTCAGTCAAATTCTCTCAGACAAGTTCACAGGGCTCCCACTAACTTTAGTGGGAGCCTTTCATATTCCCGTGCTCATTCAAGGGTGAAACGTGGCACAGCTGTTTCTCTCTTTGCAGTTAGTATGATCATGGTAATTTCCGTTTTTGTGTTTGTGCACGTTTGCAGGCTTCGTTCTGGCTTTAGACTAGCTTTCCAATGGTGCCCATATATAAAAGCAACAGAGAGAGACAAACTTAAACTTACTTATCCATCAACGTCACAGCTGATCCGCAACCGCCAGGCAAACAAAGCTAATTCAAAAACAGACACACTGAAATGAGAAAAAGACGACATCAGTATCTTGCTTGCATTTGACACACTGATTTTTATGCTAATACTCTTTAATATTGTTCAAAATACAGTCTAAAAGATACGGTAGTAGACTTTAGAAGCCTGGGGTAGTTTTATTATTTTGGATCATGCTGTTCCAAATGTCATCACCAGTGGAAATAGGATAAGAGTAGTAATTCTGGATGGAATTTTTCAGCCTAACCTTTCTCCACTCCTCCCTGACTTCCAAAAGATGCAGGTTTGAATCAAAATCTATGTAGATTTTGTCTGTTTCATTTGAAACAACAAGCAACAACAACAAAAGGAAATGTCTAAATGGGTTATTTCAGCTTTAGTGAAAGAAAACATTTAGACTTTTGGTGCTAGATTCACAAGGGGATTTAGGCACCATTCACAAAATGGAGAGGACAGCAAACAGCAATAGCACTTACTAGTTAGGGCACTCACCTGGAATGTGGGATTTCCATGTTTGAATCCCAGGTCTGGAGCATATAAGTAGCTACCAGACTATATAATCATTCTCTTATGTTCTTTCTCTGAATAGTCAAATATTTCATAGAAAGTGGGCAACCAAGGGCCTGGTGAGCTGGGAGAAAACTAACCTGGGTTCAAGTCCCTGCTCCAGAGCAGGGATTCAAACATGTTTACTCAATGACTGTCCTAAACACCTCTTTTTTGTGAATCTAGCCCTTCACTGTGTTTGCCTTTATTTAAGCAAATAAACAAACAGTTACAATACCTGAAATCAAAATGAAAATGTTATTGTGTGTCAAACAAAACATTTCCTTACTTAGATTCAGATGAAGTGAGAAACTACTAGATGTGATCACCGGGTTCAGAGATCTACTGATGGGTCCCCTGACTGTATTTCTGCTCCTGGGTTAGATAAGATGACTATCTAAGGAGATGGTGGTACCTAGGGATATGGTAAAATCTCCATTCTTAGAGGTTTTTAAGGCCAGCCTGACAAAGCCTTGGCACAGATGATCTAGTTGGGGTAGGTCCTGCTTTGAATAGGGCATTGGACTAGATAATTTCCTCAGGTCGCTTCCTAACTTAATCATCTATTATTCTATGATTAGCATTCCCCCCCCTCCTCTTTTGTGCAACTGGAGCAATGGGAAGAAGGAAAACCAAAACTTCTAAGCTTAGTGCAAATGCAAATATGAAGACATCTTTCCTGATGCCTTTATAGTAGTGAAAACAGGACACAATCCTAGCTGGGATCCCTGAATGCAGTTGTGTGTATGGAACAAAGAAAAGACATCTGACACACTATCAAGATGCACCTTTCAAAAAAAAAACAAAACCATCCAATCTTATTTAAAAATGATCAGTGATGGACACGGTGAGCCTGTGTCCATTCTTCCAGAAAGCTAGTTCATCTTCCATCTCTTCTTGACATACAATCAGTTTGCACTTTAGGTGACTAACTTGAGTTCTCCTCCCACTAAACAGCTCTACAATATACTAATAAGAAACCAAAAAGTGTTGCTTTATTGAGGGAGTGGGCTATAGACTAAACTTCTGGGGGTCAAGCTGTGGTTGCTCTTGAAGGGCTGAGATAGCACATTGCAGAGCTAGCATCACCATCCCCCCTTGACTTGTAGGGCTATGAAGGTTGCAGCTATTTTTTGATGGATCAGTCAGTGACGCTTTTTGTTAGCCTGTTTCCAGTTCATATTTAGAAAATGGTTTCTTCAGTTTTAGAAGTCCTGGCTCAATTTCTGTTCTGGGAAGATATGGTATTTCCCAGATCTAGTAGTTGAACGTGGAGACTCTTCCCATCATTCAGTAGGCACAGTAATAAGTGCAGTGTATGTCAGGTTACATTATTTACAGCAATTTATGAGCTAACAAGAAGCTGGCTCTCAATAATAAATACAATCCTTGATAATATACATAGAAATTATTAATTATTAAACTGCATTTAAAATATCCATCTACTGAAATTTGCCATGTAAAGTTGTTTAACTTTAAATATCAAGAAGAGGTCACTTGTATTCATTTCGGAAAAACTGTCTGAAGAATCTCATCATTCCAACAAAATGAAGAAACAAAAAGCACAAAATAGTTTCAGAAATTAGGAAACGCTTTATTTTTGCCTTCTGCTAATTTAAAAAGAACAAAAATTGCTTGATTTAAGACAAATTCTGATGAAAGACAAATTCTGATGAGACTGTTGTAAGAGAAACACTGAAGGACCGTCAACTGTAGCAGTATGAGCAAATGATAGTATCACATAGATATGTAAATAAAATAAGGTTTATATGATCATTTTAAATAACTTAAACATCTTACAAAGTAAGGACCACAGTTTTATTCTTTAAGCCACAAACCTTTAAATAATGCACTGTAAGACATCTTAGTTACTGCTTGTTCAACATGGAATTTAAGATGTTCTTAAAAATACATTAAAGACTTGTGCTTCAATCTTAATACACCTCTCATGGATAAGAAGCAGTTTAGAGATTAAAGTCCTGTCTACATCTATCCTCTGCTTAGAAAAGAAGTAGGGCTTATCATCACATGTGAACTATCTTCCATAACATGGAAACATCCAACATTATAAAGCCACCTCTGCTTGGCGTCATCCCATTTTTATTTATCCCAACCAAAAACCCACCTAGCCAAGCACCTCCAAATTTAGGGGAAGAGGTTTCACAATCTAAACTTTGATCCAGATTTGAATTTTTCTGCCCATTCAGTTTCTATGCTGAACCAAATGCTCAAACAGACCCACATTTTCTAGTGTTCAAAATTCAGATCCAAATTTTATAGCTCAGGCCATCTCCAAAAGATTGCTGCCATCGTAAATGAGATTTGTGAAATTAAAATGACAGAAAAAGTAACTTACGCTAACAAAGAACAAAAACCCTATTCAACATAGCAAGCTTCTCACTTCATTTTGTCCATTATTTTGCAATACAGATGCATATTTGGGTTTTGGCAGGTTGATACCTGTGCAGAGATTATGCATTACAGTTTCAACCAGAAGCACAACTGGAACCCCTGTGTGAGCACAACATTTGTACACACAAACTGGCATTTCAACATACTAATCATACAACTGTATACGCAGGATATGGAAATGTGTGTAATTACCAATATGTGGGTGTGCAAATGTCAGATGGTGTACACAAACAAGGATGGTGCATGTGTCATACCCAGAACTGAACAGCTAGTCAAACGTATTTCTACAGATTTGCTTGAGTTCTATAGGCCAGGTCTTTGTCATGCCTGTGGATTCCTCCTTACTAGCAGTGTACATATGAATATAAAAAGCACTGGCATCACTGTTATTAGGATTTATTCCTTTATAAAACAGCAAAGCTTCACAAAGTCCCAAACCACAATAGAGCCTCTTCCAGAAATAATCACGGGACACCAGTTAACACACCAAAAGAAGTTTAATATTTTTCACAAATATTATTTAACACTAGTATATAACTATTACTAGTGTGCAAAGTAAAAAGACTATCTACCTTTGCAAAACCAGTTTGGCATGCAATTCTTCAGGTAGACACACACACTTAAAGCTGCAAGTACTGTTTGTGACTCACATGTTACCTTACAACATTCAATCACAGTGCATACTGAAATGTTATCAATATCCAGGGCAATCCAAATCTTGAGGGTGATGCAGGAAGATGGGAGAGCAACCTACATGGCTAGATTTTCTGCAGAAAAAGAGAAGAGGGGGGAAAAAAACCCATGCAGAGACTTCAATTCATTTTTGGTATGTTAAAAAAAAAAAAAAAAAAGAGTAATTGACTACAAAGGGCAGGGAAAAAGTGTGACATAAAAGCTATTTAATGTAGGCTTGCTCAACTTGTCTCTTTTTTGCAGGGAAAAAGTGTGACAAAAGCTATTTAATGTAGGCTTGCTCAACTTGCTTCATAGTTTAAAAAATGGATGTGCTAAATAATTATGACAACAGGATCAATACAGCATAGGAAGGAATACTCAATATGTATATAATGTTTTGTCATTATTATTTTATTCCATGGAATAACTGGGCCTGGCACTATTTTTGTGATTTGTTTTATGCACCTAAGTCCTCAATGTCAAAACCAAAGCCAGACCCTGGTATTTCCTAAGGCTCATTCACTTTAGCTGGGTATTTGTGTTTTGACAAGGTGTTTATACATTAAAACTTGCTTTCAAGCAAAAAAACCAAAAATAAAAACAAACAAAAAAAACTCTTTAAAGTTAGAGGGAGAATTTTACACTCCTGTATGATGCTATTTCAGCCTGTTTAACTGCAAACTCGGCAAAACAGCAGCAGTGTGCTGGCTTATTTAGTTAAAAAAAAAGGACAGAAAATTTTTACGAGAAATCAGACTCTGAAGAATACAGCAAAATCTGAAAGAACCACAGATTTCCCATGTCCAGAGATTTGGATTACCCCAATCAATCACTTGGCTTTATTAGTAAAGATTTTCCTCTTGAAACAATACAGATTGTACTTGGTAACACATTACTATTCACAGAAGCAATGGGAAATACCAGTGATACCAGATTTGTGGGACAGAACCATATACTTTTACTATAACAAAACATGAATCAAAGGGGCAAATAAGTCATATTCTAAGTCCCACTATAGAGTTACATTTGCCCACAGTGCTGACACACTGTAATATTTCCATAGTCATTTTAAGTGAAACAACATTAGGCAGAAATGCAGGAGGGAATTGTTACTTCTGCTTCTATAAGCATGAACACCTTGATTTTATGTTCAGTGTCTCAATGGTGCATTAATATGGACGTCGTATCTGCTGGAGAGAATATATTTCATACAAAGTAACAATAGCTCTCAATGTATATGATTTGGCTGTAATTTTATTTCAAACAATAACTTATTTTGACAGCAGCATAAATAATAAACTGAATTTAATGATCTAGAGATGGGGAATGTATGTACCAACCAGGTGGAAAAGAAACATGCAGATTGGGGGTCCAGAGATGAGTGATATTATCAACAGCACACACTCTATTTTGTATCCTATTTTTATGTCATTAGTTGTATTTTTCAATAAAGCAGTGAATTCTGGCCTTCTAACAGTTCAGACTACAGAGTCGCTGCTTTATAAGAAAGTGCTCGAAAGGCAGAATTAAAGCCAGTGTTCTGGAGTTTAGTTTTGCTCAGCATCACGAAGTCTACATCCCACAGCAGTAATGAGAGCTGCCCCTTTCCCGCTACCATCTTCTGAAAGAAGGAATGTCACATTGCATTTTGGTGCGAGATCCTTTACTGTCTGATGCATGATTCTTGAAAAGCTACAAAGAAAACAGATAGGGATATAAGTGTAATCCAGCATCCATCTGTGCAAGACCCAGCCATGAGAAACATAATTCAACAAAATTCTGCACATCAGCTAGGCATGTAAAAAGAGATGAAGAATACTGTTAGAGTGTGCAGGTGATTGGGAAACTGTATAATAATGGTACTTATGAAAAGACAAGCTTTTTAAATGCTAACTTAAGTTGCTGTAGAGACCATGTTTGCCTTAACTTCTATTAGCTCTGCTGGTAGAGGCAGGGCACCTTCTCCCGCCCTTCCCCACCACTAGCATTAAAACAAGCTGCCTCTGAGAGGTCTATAGAGCAGCTTCCTTAAGACCCACAGCTGATGAAGAATTGTCTTTACCACTTGGCTTGATTGTTCCTGCCTCCCCCCAGTGCTATGAGGTAGGGATGTAATAGTGTAGTAGATTAACCAATAAGTGAAAGCTTATAGGTTAATGTTATAGACTACATGCATTCCCCTCCTACCAGTAAATTTTTTAGCAGGCTGGCCAGCAGCCCAGCTCACTTCTGGTTCATACCGGGTCCAGGACCTATCCCTGCTGTTGTTCTGCATTTAAAGTGTATTAGGAGCTGGGTGGGCAGGCAGCTCTGGTTCGCGCTGGGTCCAGGAGTTCAGAACCCACTCCAGACAGGGGCTGCTGCCATCCCGCACTAGTGCCCCTATCAGATGCAGCAGCACAGGGTGACAGGCAGCCAGTCTGCAAGAGGAGCTGGGTTTCAAACTGGCTCCCCTCTCAGACTAGCTCCCACCTGGCACCCTGTGCCGCTGCTGGCCCCACTCCCAGGGACTATAGACTAGTAGACTAACCGATAAGAATTCATGAGGTTACTCGACTATTCAATTAACTGATATTTAACATCCCTACTCTGAGGTAACTGTGACCAGATGCAGACCTGTATTCACGGCCTAACACACTACAGCAATAATCTTTGTACAAAATGTGCCTTTGGAGAGGTCTGAGGAGAGAAAGAAAGCTGACATTTCTAGCCAGGTTTCATCAAAGTTTATGAGCAATCACCTACCAAGGGAACATTTGTTGGCAAGGAGGGGAATGCAAGAACAAGCATCTGCACGAAACCTCTTTTACCTCAACCTCCTTTACCTCTTTTACTCCAGCCTCACTTATAGGAATGATCTTTATCTAGGGGTAAGCCTCAAAAAAATGCATTTCAAAGGAGGACTGAACTATAAAAGAGGGGCAAAACACCCCCAAGGTATCTCTCCCTATCCACCTCTCACTCTTTCACCTAAGATGACAAAAAATAATTGTGCTTTATTATTTCTTTTATAGTCTCTTATTCCCCACACAAAGTTCCAACCTAAATTTTTTTCAAGCTCTGTTTTTGGTTGCTATTAATTTATGTCTGTACACCAAGGAAGCCTTTGGGGTAATAAAAGGGGGAAAGAAACATTTGAATAATCCATCATTTTAGAGAACAAAGAAGCCATTGCTCTGTATCTAGGTCTAAGAGACCAGAAACACTTCAAAGAAAGGCCAATGACAATGTAGCACTTGTTGCAAAGACACACAGCAAAAAAACTACTACTTACTGTGGATGTAGTTTATACAGAGTCCCATCTACACCAACTGTTACTTCCAGGTGGTCTACGCCTCTATTCTCCCGTATTTTATCTACCACAGCAGCCATTCCAGCTCCACACACTTGAGCTGCTCTCCTTGATACTGCTCCACAAACCATCTTTACAATTATACTGTCATCGCAGGTACCATTCAAACCCAGCTGCTGGAGGATTGCTCGTACCTGAAGCAATGCTAACCTGTCACTGAAATGAAAGGGGAACAACATTTTTAACCAGGTCACTGAATGAAGCCTTTTACAATATTTAGTATCTATACAACAATTAACTCCCAATACATTTTCACAACCCCTCTGAGAAACACTGTGGCCCTAGGAGCCTCTGAATGCCAACATACCATGACTCACATCAGACCTGACACACTCATTGCCCCCACACACTATTGTCATAATCAGCACCTAAAAGATTCTGTGGAAAGAATCATATGCAAACAGGTGACACACTGGTCCCAACACCATTGTATGATGTATGTATGGAGTAAGGACAATGAGTTATAAATGTAGGATGGAAAGATGTCCTAAAAACGTGTTTGACAGGCAGACCATAAATCCCAGCCTGTCCTAGAAAAAAGAATATGTATTTACTTGTCTGACCCAGTTGACTGAAGAGGACAATGAAAAATACATCTATGTGTAAGGTAAACAAAGCCACCAAACAAGAAAGTGGAAGAGATGACAATGGGGGATAGAGTCTATACACCCAGGAAGCCTTTGGGGCAGTATCGGGGGGGGGGGAGAGGACATCATCTGAGAGAACAAAGAAGCCATTGCTTGGTGTCTATAGTATAAAAGCTGGATCCTCCCGTTAAAACAGGCCTTCGAATGCTGGCAATTTGGAGTAAGTAAGAAACTTCATAAGGCAGCATTATTTCTTACCAGAATTAAATTTAGACACTAGAGTGTTATTTTTGTTTTGTTTATAATCCATTCCTATCTCTTTTGCTGTGACCTGAAATAATTTAAATCCATGTTTTTGTTAATAAACTTAGTCTCAGTTATACTAAAAGCTATCTCAGTGATGTGCATTAAGGTGGATTGTATAAACCCAGCTGGACTAACAAACTGTTGTGTGTACTAGCTCTTTGGAAGCTTGGTATTACCTCTGTGAACACCCAGTAGGAACACCACACTGCAGGGCAGGTGGTTTTGGGGAGACTCAGGGCCAGGAAAATTGTTGGTGTCGCCCTGCAAAGAGTAACTGGGCTAGTAGAAGCCAGAGTGAGATTGCCGTGCTGTGGACATGCTACTGGCCTCAGCATTAACATAGAGGGTCCCCAAGGTTACAAAGCAGGTGGTGACGGAACCTCTTACAGGTCTAAGTGAAATCCCAAAGCATCACAGGCACATCTGGCAAGTTTTTGCTTTCAGAGCCAGATGAGCTCTCAAGAGAACGTCCCATAATCCTGAGTTCATTTCTCTACCTTATGCTGATGCATCCCAGAATCAGTAATCACATACTCATGGCAAACACTGCAGCACATTCTACTTGGAAGTAATATTGGTTCAACAGACTGGAGTTTTTGCTAGTCTCTTCCCTCATGCTTTGTTCTCACGGAGATTTCCATGAGAAAAGTGTTTGTAAGTCTCTATTACTCCATGCTTTTCCTTGATAAATCAAGTGGCCTTTAAATTACTTTACAATATATTAAGTTAGCACTAATAATACACTAAAAAACAAACAAACAATTAGTAGCTATTGCCAGGATAGCTTAATAATTATATCTCTACTACTTTTAAATATATAAATAATTAAATGAAAAAGCAAACCCAGAAAGAGCATCTCTGATTACTATCAACAGGGATTGACGAACCGCTGTTTCTACTTGCCCGTGGCGAGTAGATTTCAGCTGGTTGCTCCGTTTGCCCTGTTCACCAGTGCTGTGTGCATACAAGGTGCTGGTCTGGCGCATGCACGGTACGGGGCTGGCGAGTAGGTCTCGCCGTGGTTTGTCGAGCCCTGACTATCACTATCCTCAACTACATCTACACTAGAACGCATCCAGCGGCACAGACATACCAAGGCAGCTGTGCTACTCTAAGATCTTTTCAAAGCTATTCTTTGCTGACAAGGGGTCACTCCCACCAACAATTTCAGCACCCCATGAGCAGCAACAGCTATGTCAATGAGAGAAGTTCTCCTGCTGACAAAGCACTATGTATGCTACCATTTATGCTACTGTATCTTAATTATCTTAAGCTAAGGAGGGCATTTTTTTACACCTCGAGCAATACAAGTTTTCCTGACATACATGATAGTGTAGACATGACCATCACTGGAAATACTCCTATGAACCAAGAAGACATTCTAAAGCAGGGGTCAGCAACCTTTCTGAAGTGGCATGCCAAGATTTAACCCTCCTGTCCTGGGATGTGCTGCTCTCCCAGGAAGGGTGGGGAAGTGAGGCGCTCTCCACCATTTGCCCCATGAGAACCATTTGGGTCAATGCAAACTATTCCACAGAATACCAGTTGCTAATGGAAACTCACTGTTAATTACATAATTATGCTCAATCCATTTTGCTAATGCGGCAGCTGGGGAGAATGGTTTAATTTAATCGATTAAACAGATTAAGCGTTTTAACTTTCTCATGTTCGTTTAGCAAACTTCATTTTAAATAAAGTAAAATATTCAATGTCCAACACAAAAGGTTTCAATGTTTTCTTTATGGCAGAGGTAGGGAACCTTTTTTGGGTCAAGGGTAACTAACCCACAATAAAATTAGCTGGGGACCACACAAGTGAGAAGCAAAAAAAACCTCATCCAAACCCCCGCAACTTTCACTGATGTAACCCCCGAGACACCTCACTCCTCTGGCACTTCAGCCCCTATGGAGTGAGGGGAAGGGACAGAGAAGACTGGGGTTCGGGGATTCCCATAGGCCAGATTTACTTTTCTGGGGCTCCAAAGTTAATGTATTTTGTGGACCCCCTTAGGCTCTGGGGTGGGAACAAAAATGAGGGGTTCAATGTGCAGTACAGGGCTACCAGCAAGTCGGACAGTGATTTGTGGGGGAAAGTCAACATGGTTTCTGTAAAGGGAAATCATGCCTCACTAATCTGCTAGAGTCCTTTGAGGGGGTCAACAAACATGTGGACAAGGGGGATCCATTAGTTATAGTGTACTTAGATTTCCAGAAAGCCTTTGACAAGGTCCCTCACCAAAGGCTCTTAAGTAAAGTAAGTTGTCATGGGATAAAAGGGAAGGTTCTTTCACGGACTGATAACTGGTTAAGAGACAGGAAACAAAGGGTAGGAATAAATGGTTGGGGTTCCCCAAGGGTCTATCCTGGGACCCGTCCTATTCAACTTATTTATAAATGATGGAGAAAGGGGTAAACAGTGAGGTGGCAACATTTGCAGATGATACCAAACTGCTCAAGATAGTAAAGACCAAAGAAGACTGAAGAGTTTCAAAAAGATCTCAACAAACTAAGAGATTGGGCAACAAAATGGCAAATGAAATTTAATGTTGATAAATGTAAAGTAATGCACACTGGAAAAAATAATCCCAACTATACATACAATATGATGGGGACTAATTTCGCTATAACTATGCGAGAGAGAGAGAGAGAGAGAGAGAGATCTTGAAGTCATTGTGGATAGGTCTCTGAAAACATCCACTCATTGTGCAGGGGTAGTCAAAAAAGTACATAGAATGGTTAGGAATCATTAAAAAATGGATAGAGAACAAGACAAAAAATATCTTATTGCCTCTATATAGAACCCTGGCACATCCACATCTTGAATACTGCGTACACACTCATCTAAAAAAAAGATATATTGGCATTGGAAAAGGTTCAGAAAAAGGCAACAAAAATGATTAGGGGTTTGGAACAGGTCCCTTATGAAGAGAGATTAAAAAGACTGGGACTTTTCAGCTTAGAAAAGAGGAGACTAAGAGGGGATATGATAGAGGTCTATAAAATCATGACCAGTGTGGAAAAAATGAATAAGGAAGTTATTTATTTATTCCCACAATATAAGAACCAGGGGTCACCAAATGTAATTCATAGACAGCAAGTTTAAAACAAAAGGAAGTTCTTCACTCGGCACACAGTCAACCTCTGGAACTCCTTGCCAGAGAATGTGGCGAAGGCTAGGACTTGAACAGGGTTCAAAAAAAAGAGCTAGATAGATTCATGGAGGTTAGGTCCATCAATGGCTATTAGCCAGGATGGGTAGGAATGGTGTCCCTAACCTCTGTTTCTCTGTAGGTGGGTGACAGGGGAGGGATCACATGAGGATTACCTGTTGTGTTCCCACCCTCTGGGACATCTGGTATTGGCCACTGTTGGCAGACAGGATACTGGGGTGGATGGACCATTGGTCTGACCCAGTATGGCTGTTCTTATGCAGGACAGGGTGAGGAAGGCAGGGTCTGGAAGGGAGTTTGGTGGCAGGAGAGGGTGTGGGTACAAGAGGGAGTTTGGGGGTGAGAGGAGGTTGGGGGAGTAACACAGAAAAGGTGAGAGGGTGAGATTGCAGCCAAATAGTTAGTTGGGGAGGGAAGCAAAGAAGTGGGGAGTAAAGGAGAGTGCAGCTTCTGCAAAGTAAAACTGCATTCCCCCCTCCCATCTTCCCTCTGCCCCATGATTCCCCCCGCCTATCTTAATCCCCTGCATTCCGTGCCCCTCAGTGCAACCCCTGCACCCTCCCATTCTGCCCCTGTATCCTCCTTCACTTCCCCTCCTGCCCCCAGATCCCTGTGCCCCCAGTGCACTCACTGGCAGGACAGCAGCACTAGAACTTGTAGCCTCCAGGAGCAGTGCTGGGGTGAGGAGAGGTGGGGGG